CTCTTCAGTCTGAGATTTGGCCACTAGAACATCCACCTTGATGCCAAAGTTTTGAAATCAGAGATCCAGACAGACAAGATGGTAATGGCGAACCAACCGGACATTGTGGTGGTGGATAAAGAACAGAGGAAAGCCGTTGTGGTGGATGTAGCAATACCAAGTGACCACAACATCAGGAAAAAGGAGCACGAGAAACTGGAGAAATACCAGGGCCTCAGAGAGGAACTGGAGAAGGCCTGGAAGGTGAAGACCACAGTGGTGCCTGTGGTCATCGGGGCCCTCGGGGCAGTCACCCCCAAACTGGAGCAGTGGCTCAAACAGATCTCAGGAACAACATCAGACATTTCAGTCCAGAAATGTGCAGTTCTAGGCACAGCCAGGATACTGCGCAGAACCCTCAAGCTCCAAGGCCTCTGGTAGAGGACCCGAGCTCAGAGGATGAAAGAGAGAGACCACCCGCAGAGGGTGAGAAGGGAATTTTTAAAATATATATTTATTTATTTATTGCTATAAGCATTTGATGTTCTTACTATGTTTAACAATTATCTTAATTGAATGATTTGGTTACTTCGATAAACTATGAATTTATTTTTAAGCTAATTGTGTATGTTTCTCATATTTTCATAGAACATGTGATGTATCTGGCTGTAGCTCTTTACCTCTTCGAGAGGTGCCGAGCTATGAAGTTCTTTTGGAGGAGATGGAGTCGCTGAAGAGACACCTCTCCCAGACGGACTCGCCCACCGTCCTTTGCCACAACGACCTTCTCACAAAAAACATCATCTACAACTGTCAAGAAGGTGAGGAGACCCTCAGATGAGATGGCATGAGAAGTGATACGTTTGTTGATTGTATGTGACTAATTCTTCTAGTGTCAAAAATCACACACACACAAAAAAAAATCAAATCAAATGAAATTTATTCTCTAGAAACAAATTTTTGTAGCATTCTTTTTAGGTTTTCATTCATCACACAGTATCTGCAAAGCTAATCAAAGTGGCTCCGAAGAGACGAGCTGCTACTTTGACCCCTTTGCTTTAAGTAAAATACCACAAAGGTTGTTGGTTGTCAGTCCACACGGTCAAGCTGTTTGTCAGGTTGTCACGGTAACCCTTTCCTCCCCCCCATCAGGGTCGGTGAAATTCATCGACTACGAGTACGCTGACTACAACTACCAGGCTTTCGACATCGGGAACCACTTCAATGAGTTTGCTGGTAGGTCTGAGTGGGTTTTTCACACAGTAACACAATAACTCCACTGTTATTCACACAGTAACACAACTCATATGTACAGTATGTAACGTGTAAAAACATTTTCTGTCGCTTTCAATCTTTTTTTTGGCGAACAGGTGGATTCAGTGCGACTTTCAGTTTCTCTATATAATTCTGAGATGTTCAGCTTTCAGATTTTTTGTGATAGTCAGAATGCATACATGTTCATATAATAAAGTGTAGTCCAACCATTATAAAATTATTATGGGTTGAAAATTATTACCAGGTGGAAGCAAAACTCTCCAAAAGTGTTTAAATGCGGGCTTCATTCTGTGACGAATGCTGAGATAGAACGTTAAAAAGAAAAATCGAAGAAGAATAAGGCAGGTATTTCTTTTTATATATTTAAAAATGTAATATTCTTTATTCCAAGCATTTCTCTGGTTTTTAGGCGCGTAGAGAAATGGAGCTCCTCTCCTGTCTCATCCATTGCTGGCAACTAAATTTTCCTTTCAAAGCACAGAAACGCTCTGAAAAACACAAAGAGTCACGTTGTGGAAACTAAAGGAGCATCATCCAATCATCCTAAACCTTCAGGGTCTACTGCAACAACAGATTATTATCACCTATTAATTTGAGTTACTAGACAAAGAACTGAAAGCAAAATAATATCCTGCACTATGAGCACTGCTAAGCAAACACTAAACGCTGAGGACATTCACTTTTGCTTAAGTGTGTGAATTAAAATAAAACAAATACTGAAATGAAGGTTATGATGATGAAAAAGTCATATTTTGGTATCAACAGAAATAATTTTTAGCCTGTTTGTTATGTCAGGTTGTACACTTCTGTTTACATTTTGTTGTGTGTTTATACCATAAAACCTCAAGGTTATTATCCTGTGAATGTCAACACATGGCTATTTTCAGTCACAGAATAATTTATATGAAAACTCTTTTCTCATTTAAGTCATCCTCGTCTTTTAATCCAGTGGCACGCCCAGAATATTTTCACCGGTGTGCCCAGACCAGGGGAGTAACATGCTACGTTTTGGGTGAAATTGTAGTCGGCGATTTTACAGAAGAGCTATCAATTTGACACGTTAAAATGACACAAAATTTTTTTTATGAACTTTTTGATGCTGTGGGAGCTTTGGTAGAACCACCTGAACATTGTCAGAAAAAAAACAGAAACAGTCCATCATCCTCCCACCACTTCCTGCCATCTTCTTTGTCGTTTTTGCCAGTAACAACATCTGGCTGTTGATCACGTGACTCGTGTGATGTAAAAAACCACATCATCATAGCACAGAAACTTTTTCTTGAAATTGCCGCATTTCCATTAAGTGGATTTATTTCATAATTTTAATTTGCACAATGTTATGTTTAATGGAAAAGTACCTAATATAGCCATTACATAAGGTTTATTAACCCTTGCCAATGGGTGACAATGGTTAAAAAAATTTCACACACACACACACAAATAATTATATATATATATATATATAACTTTTTCAAGAGGGGACAATGACTCCCTTGTCTCCCCCTTAGGATCGCCACTGAATCCAGATACGCTGCATCCAAAGAAATGTGAGGGAAAAGACGAAATAATTTTTTGCAACATCTGTTCACATATTTCTCTCTGAATTAGGCAGCTTCTTTAAAACCGTTTGCTAAGTACAAATAGATAATCATTGCCTATAAGGTGACTTTATGTATGATAAATTATTTAAATAACATATCCAGTTGTCTTTCACAGATAATATGTGAAGGAAATGTCATTTTTAACCTCTAAAGATAAGGTTTCCTATTTCAAAGTAAACGGGCTTCGTTGGAAGTCTGAAAACCTTCTAATTAAGCTGACAGTAACTCGTTGTGTGTGTGTGTGCGTGTGTGTGTGTGTGTGTGTGTGTGTTGTGGCCAAAGGTGTGACTGACGTCGACTACAGCCTGTACCCGAGCCGGGAGCTGCAGAGGGACTGGCTGACCGCCTACCTGGAGAGCTACAAACGCAGCACTGGCCGCAACGTCACAGTTTCCGACGAAGAAGTCACGAAGCTCTACGTTCAAGTCTGCAAATTCTCTCTTGTAAGTCAGAATTATAGCCCAACCTGAGCACGTTGTGAGGCACTTTGGAGACATTTTAAAAGTCATCTTTTTTTCGTTTTTTTTTAAGTTTTCCTTTCCTTCTGTTTAGTTTATAGTTCTGGGCAAATTCACACAAAGAAGAGGAGGAGGGGAAAAAAACACTCACATTATGAGATTAGTGCTCTCGTTTCAGCAGCATCCAGATGTGCGCAGACCTCCGAGATGACAGAGTGGGCATCACCTCACCGCCGCGTTCTGATAATTTACTTTTCCAGCAACAACCCTCCCGTTTTTGTCCCCCCCGTTTCCCTTCCCCCAAAACCCCCTAAAAGCAAAACCAAACCATCCTGTTTAAGCCACCGCCGCTCAAAGTATGATGGACTCCGTCCGCGTTGATTAGAAGCTACCGCAGGGGAAAATGAAAGGTGGCAGCCAAAATTATTTTTCTTATGACCACAATTTTCATTCTTTGGTGGCTCAAGTGGTGCTGAGCTATCTGTCTGAAAGTGCTTCCACAGCTCCAACACAATATGCAGAATTGTCCAAGCAATTTAGAGGCAGGGGGTGTTGGTGTGAATTTCTCTTGAAATAGCCCAGAAGTGATGAGGAAGCATATCACTTTTAAAATAACCCGTGCTTTGGCCAAAAAAAAAAACAGAGAGAGAGAAATTAGAAAAAAAAAAAAAAAAAAAAGCCGGGGGGGGGGGGTTGGGGGGGGGGGGATGGGGGGAAATACGGCCTGGAATGAAGTGGGAGAAATGATAACGTCTTGTTGATTGAATTCAGATTTTCGGTGACAGACCGAGGAGGTTTT